AGTTGAGGAAGCTTCATCTTTTTGTTCACACTACTTTGAACCTCATGTTTACACAAGGCATAGGAAAGTTCCACGAAATGATGATTGTAGTACAAGGGAAAATGATGAGCGCGATGGTAATCTTTCTATATTTACCTATCCTGGTAAAGCATTTAGGAGATGCAAACCAGGATATATAACTGAAGAAGAACTTGATACAGCTCATATTTATGTTTTATTAAATTGTCCAGAAGTACACCCATATATTGAGTAAGACTTCAAGCTTTTGTTTTCATTTGTAGATTAGCAAAATCATCGAAACCTTAATAAAATATTTTCTTGGATGTGATTCAAAGGATTTTTATTGACTCCCTTCATCAAAATTTCCTACAAATTACGGAGAAGGAAGTGGATAAGAAACTTGATGAAGAGTTTGCATCATGGTTTAAAAGATATATGAGTACTTGTACAATATCCTTCCACTTATACTTACCTCACTTATGAGAAACTCTAATTATTTTTCTTTTATAGGCACACGTCCATATAGATAATCAGTTTATCAAGGTCCTTGCAGAAGGTCCATATCAAACAGCACAACCATGGACTGGTTATACAGTCAACGACTTTTAATTTCACATTAAAAGCCGCAGTTCTTCTAAATCATCTAACAACAACAGTGTATGCATAAAAGGAACTAATTATAGTGTAGATGATAGTGACTACCATGGCGTGCTAACTGATATCCTTCAATTGGAGTACAAGGGTAGTGAGTATATAAAAAGAACTGTTTTATTTAAGTACGAGTGGTTTGATCCAACACCAAAGGTAGGAATGAAGATTCACCCACAATATAAACTTGTGGACATCAACCAAGAAAAGAAGTTAAAGAAGTATGAACCATTTGTTTTGGCAATGCAAGCGGCTCAAGTGTATTATACAACTTATCCTAGCTTACGACGTGATAAGAGTGAGTCGTGGGCTGTGTGCAAAGTAAAAGCACGGGGTTTGGTGGACATGCCTCCATTATCTTCACAGTCAACTCCGACAGATGGTGTTGAGCCCTTCCAATCTGAGGAAGTTGGTTTAACATTTGATGTTGTACCTAACAATGAAATTATTCTCTTTAGTGATCCAAATGGTGGATTCATAAACATAAGAGACGAGGATGATGATTTAGATGATGAGGTAGAACTTCATGTTGAATTTGGATCGGACGAAGATGAAGGTAAGTATGAGGATAAAGATAATGAGAATGAAGAGCTATATGATGAAAATGACAGTGAACGGAGTCAAAGTTCTTCAATCTCTTCAATTATAGAGTCTGGATAAATGAAACATAGTATATAATTTATTTTTAGTTTTTAGTTTTTAAGAAAAAGTTCTTGGATTTCAGATTTTATGGGTTCTTGTTTTTTTAACTTAAGTAAATTTGTTCTTTTTTAGATGTTTGTCTTTTGAAATACTTTATAAAGTAAATTTGTTCCTTTTTAGATGTTTGTCTTTTGAATCCGCCATATCTAGATTAATACTTGTATGCCTTATTTTTTTCAAAACATTTTGTTCTTGGAGTAATATATCATTTAGTTACTCTTGGAATAACATATCAATTATTGTATCCAATTTGATTTGACCATGATTCATTAAATATGTTATTTGTTCATCTGCATCTGACTTTGGAATTGCAGATATGGCACCTAGGGGAGATGGAGCACGTAGATATGCTGAAAACATGAATTCAAACACACCGAGATCTCATGAGATGTTGAGTCCCACATCTGATCAGTCACCCGAACCTGATCAGTCACCTGAACCTCCAGTTACAGAAACACCACATTTGGATGCAACTATAAGCAGATCCTTACCATCTTCTTCTTCTAATCTTGGTACACCTGCAGATGAAATCTGATTAGCAAGTTCATCAAACACAATTGGCGGTAACTGTATCCCAATTAAAATCGTCCCTGGAGGGTAAGAGTAAAAGTGTGACTTGTTTATATTTTTTTTAATTTTTATTTCTTGCTTATATGGTATGTATTAGTGCATCTCAAATGCTTCTTGAAAGAATATGAAAGGCTTAAATGGAATGGAGTAACAACATAATTCATTTCTTATTTACTTTAGCCAACTGGACCCGAGCAATGACATCACTCGGTCTGTCACAAAAATCTTTAAGGAGAAACTGGATCCTGAAGGACATAATTGGAAGTCTATTACACCAGAGACAAAAGACTTCTATTGGGAAGAGTTTAAGGTAAAGTTATAGTATTATAAGATCAATAATATTTGGAGTTCCTTTATCTTTCTTGAGCCGAGGATTTACTACACTCGATATAAGTTGTTTTTGTTGTTATTATCAATATCTTGTGTTATTTTCATTTGATCTTCTCAAATAGAAACGATTTTTGTGAGCACTGCAATTGAAGGTTCCGTAAAGGATAAGTTTATGAGCAAATGTGCAAAACGATACAAGGGTATGTTATCTGAAGCAAGAAGTTGTGAGAAGAAGCGCAAAACTATTCCAGTATCTATTTGGGACAGCTGGAAGCCTCACTGGGAGACTGAGGCTTTTAAAGCCATGTCTGCGCAATGCTCAAGGAATCGGCTAACTGAGAAAGGTGGTGAAGGTTCTAGTCCCTCACGCCATACAGGAGGATCCAGAAGTCACCAAGAACATGCAAGACAAATGGTATATTCCTTTTTAATTAGCCCAGTTATATTATCTCCAAAGCTAGTGATTATGTATTAATATAGTGAACGTGGTTTTCAATTCTAGGCTAAAGAGCTGGGAAGACCAGCTCATCCACATAAGCTTTTGAAGAAGACACATGTCATGGTGAACAAAGAGTTTGTGTACCAGAAATCTAAGAGCACCTATGTAAGTTACTTCTCCCATTTTTGCTGTGACGTTTGCTACTTTGATATCGATGGCCATTCAGTTTTAACATATATATCTATTGTAGTCAGTATCACAATTTATAGGATTAGCACAAAGCATGCAAGATGTTACTTAAGAGTCAAAGAATTGATGATAATTGAATGTCATTTTCCAGTGGAAAGCATTCTGCTGATTTTGCGAATCTTCAATATTTTGTCTAAGAATCCCAACTACAGGTTATATATACCACCTTTTACTTGCTCAATATTTTGATATGTCTTCACATCCTGTTTATTCATTCCGGCAACTGGTTGTACCGGTGTTGTAAATAGCGCTCGCCTCAACGCTAATAGCGTGAGGCGAGGTGATGCAAGCTGCCATCGGTATTTTACAGCGTGGCGTAGCATTTTCAAAAAAGCGAGCGCCTTTGCCTTTGTAGCGTGTGGCGACATGTAGCATGAGGGGACCTGTAGTGTCCCTTTTTGCAAAAAAAGAAAAGAACAAGGCAGTAACATTGATCTATTTAAGAAAGAATTATGACTCGCGATTTCTTTACTCTTTCTCCTTCAAGTCAACATCACACTATTGGCGTAAATCATAGTAGAAGACATGTATCAAGATGATCTCCAAGGCAAAGTGAAACTGATAGTTGTCTTGTGACTGTGACAGAAGTGATTGAGCCTGGAGTTTTTTCTGCCGCAAATGTCCATTTTCAGTTACACTGGTCCTTTGTGGACAGTTGAGGTATCTGGTGAATGCACAAGACAGATTATATGATTTCCCATATAATTGTTGTGTTATGGTTGAACCTCCAGTTTGTTGTTGATTGAAATTCTGCACTGGTTCAGTGGGATTTATTTCTTGGAAGGAGGTGCAAATGTTCTGTATTGTTGTTGGGACTGGTGGATCAGATTGCACTTTAGTGTACATGAACAATAGAATAACCTGAAGCAACTGGCACAATTTCAACAAGAATGAGCACATAGAGTGCTGATACCACTTATTGAAATTGCACCAGTTGTACAAGTGTATTCCAAATACCATGTGAGAATGAAAGCTAGATAATAGAGCAATCAAGAAGGATCCATCGGCCGAGTGAGTGGTTGCCTGCACATTTGAGTAAATAGGGGCAGAGTTGTTGTTTGCTGGTGGTTGATGTGTCTCCAGTGAACTTCTCATGATGTTCTTCATGTCAGCCATAAAGGTTGACTGGATAATGTTGTAGAAATGCCCATCTTGAAAGGCTCCATAAAGGTCGAATGCTTGTAGTGCACTGCAGTATGTTTGTTTCTTAGGTTCCTTCAAACCACTGTTTATTAGCTGTAATTCAAAGTAGTATCTGGTGAGATTGCTATGCTGTTTTAGTAGTATTTTTGTATTCCTGGAGGCATGTATGGATGAACAATTGGTGAAAATGGTACAGTTTCATCACAGTGAGCACATAAGTGCTAATACCACTGATGGAAACTATACCACTTGCAGAGTTAAACACCTTGTACCTGTAAAAATAGAAAAATTATTAGTTAAAATAGGGGTGGGGGCTGACTCCTGAATGGTCTGCATCCTGCTAGCTGTGCCTTGGCTTCATAGCTTCCAATATCCATCAGAAGTGAGCTGAACTTCTGTGTTTTGGGAAACCTGCAGATATGAGTATTATCAGATGCAACTGTATAGCATGACCATATAGGCTTGCTTCTCTGTTCCTCAAGTAGTGGTTTTCTGTTGATCTCAAACTCTGTAGGTTGTTTCTGCATTGTGTAAAATGTGGTTGATGTTCTCTTGAAGCTCAGAAGGTTGTCAGCAGTATCTAATTGAAGTGATTGCCATCTTCTTGGTGCAAAACATTTGCAGAGTTCTTGATACATATCACCTGGAAAAGCCTACTAATTAACTTCAATTTCATTTTATTTGGTTGAGGTTAGCTGAACCTCCAGTTCTATCGACTGGGAATTATTTTAGTTTAGCTCATTTATTGACATTTGAGTTTTCAGTTTTGTTACCTTATGACTATGTTCTTGATGTTTTCTCTGTAAAAGTTATTATTATAGAGTTTATATCATTTTCTTTTTGTCCATGACGCTATAATGTCTAAATTTCTATCTGCGTCTCAGCCTGAAGATGGGTCCAGTGAGCCTCCTAAAGTTGATTTCTCACAAATTTATTTGGAGGAAGTCGGTGTTAAGAAGACGCACATTTATGGTCTTGGTTCTCAAGCTCCTTTCTATATGCATGTTGGTGCTTCCTCCAGCTCGATATCTCCACCTCAAGATCTAGACTTCAATGCTCGGGTGAGTGAATGTTAGGACATCGTTTGCAAGAAATTAAGGAAGAGATGAAGCATGATATGAGATCTGAGACCAGAGAAGAGATTAGACAAGAAATTAGAGAAGAAATGCATGAAGAAATGAGACACGAAATGCAACAAGAGGTGCGCGAGCAAGTTGATCAACTACTCCAAAACCGTCTGTCGGTCCTCATAGGTGGCTTACCTACACCGCATTCTTGTAGACACGACTCGTCACCAAATGACACGAGT